TTTCTTGCACCTATATATATATATGTATATACACACACAAAAACATGGAAATTGTTTATTGAGTAAATCACATGATTGGCAGAATCAGGAGAGAGGAATTCTGCAGGAAGTGAAAGCGACGAACAAGGATGTAGGTATTAAGGTTGAGAGAGAGAACAAGACTAACAACAACGGAGGAGTTGTCGCGGAAAAGGAAGCAAGATCTTTGGATGTTTTCTGGTTCCTAAAACCTTGCACTCTTTCGACTTAAATCGAATTATAATATACAAAGATCAAAAAGCCTTCGGATGAATCTGCATATAAGGTGCCATTCTTTCATTCTTTTTTTCATTCAATAATAACCGTGTGTAATTTTCGTCTATTCTTTGATCCATTGTAATTGAGGATACAAATAAAATGCTGTATTGAGCTAATGAAATTAATGGTATCCGTTTTCGATCTTTTTTATGTTGCATTTTTTGGTTATTTATTCTAGGTAAGAAATTGGATCATGGAATGTATCGGTAAATTACGGCCACCTCTAAGGCAAGGTCAAATTACGAAAAAAACTCCTCATATTTGGATAATTACAACTACCCCTCAATTATGAATTTTCTAGCTTCAGCTGAATCTCTTAGATTTCGTGGAATGTTTCTCTAGTTTCTACTCATTTTGTTCAAAAAGACAGTTTCTATGCACGATATTTATAAGCCAAGAGACACATAATATTTTATGATTATCTTGTTTGAAAATGTGGAACTCAAATGGGGTAAAACGAGAACAAACTAGAGAATATCCCTCTAGAAAATTCAAGATTCCACTAAATTTGATGGTGGTTGTAAATTGTAATCACCAAAAAAAAAAAATAGACTTTTTACCGTAATTTACAGTAGAATATATACATCAAGAGGGGATTTTTAGTAAATTTGACCTTACCTCAAGATTGACCGCAATTTACCGCCACATAATATATACATCAACTTTCTATATTATTATTTGAATATATGCATAAAAATTGTGCAAGAAAGAAAAAAGAAATTGCAAAATTTCTTCGATACAAAAACCTCTAAAAGTAGAAGAAAATCTAGCTAAGTGGTGTTATTACAGAGCAAACAATTAAAGAACCTTCTAGAAGCATACCTTAAACGAGGATAAACCCTAGCAGTATGAACACTTGTCTCCATCCACACATACTCCATTGTCTCCACAAAACAACTCAAGTTTCTGATTGGAGGGATGTAAAGAATCAAAGGGATTGCAGAAAAACCCACCGCGAAGAACAAATGTAACATCTCAATTAAAATTTTAAAGCACAGGGACTGAATGATCAAGATTTCTTCTTTTATGGGTTCTTTTTGTAATATTTTATTTTTTATTTTTCTGGCTTTGTTCTCGCAGCAGTACAAAATGTACACTTGTCCACCTTTGATGACGAGGCTTTTTTTTCTTTCAGGATAATTGTAACGCAATTGTTGTAATATTAAAGGCAAATTACGGTGAACCCTGCCCCCTCCTGTTTGGGTAAATACAGTCCCCTATCAATTATGTATTATCGTATGAAATACTCCTTCAGAGGTAAATTTGGTAAATTTAAGGATGTTAAATTGGTAAAACCGAACCGAAATTTCGGTATGCCAACATTTTATACAGTTTACCGAACTGAATATACGATTTGGTTCAGTAAATAACCGAATTACACAAATTTTATGTAAAATATATAAAAGGAGGGAGGTGGCTGTAATTTCCCGAACAATAGGGTTTTTTCGTAATTTGGCCATACCTCAGGGATTGACTGTAATTTACCGTAAAATTAATTTTTGTTTCAATTAAAAGGGAATTATGATTAATTTTGTATTGCCTAACTAATTAATTTGTTTTGTAAAATATTTGATTTTCGTATATTAGTGATGATATTTTTTTTTAAATTATGTGTTGACGAATTTCAATTCGGTGTAGAGAAATAATCACACCATCGATCTTTCAATACATACATTTACTCGATACATACATTTCAGTATCTATTAACTTGATCATCGGAGTGCTATCTCCAGCATCGGCCTGAATTTCCCTCTTTTGCATGCTATATATTCCATGTTTCGTTTTCAGTGTGTGGCCTTTGTATAATCGACATCTGATCGTTTTGTTTTCGACATAGGTGCTTAACATTTTTCTTAAAATGTTACGTAACAATTCATATTATAGCATATGTTGATATTAATTTTCATAATAGATTTTCAATGTATTTTATTACTACTTCATGTGTTTAAATAATTATCTTATTATTTTTTGAAATGTTACACCGTGCAATTACTAGTACTGAACAATAACACGGTCGACGGGTATTGCCGAAAAGTAAATAAGCTAGGTATATTTGCAAAATATCATTGGGTTTAGGTGTAAAATCAAATGATCTGGTACATTTTTCGTTTAAATAAGATTTATTATTGAAAATAAACAAATAAATTATTTTTATTTTTATTATTTCTTTTTTAATTCATAACTTTTCAAAATTATACTTAATTTTTTTCGATTTTCTGAATTTTCAATTTTATTTTTATTATTTTATTAATTACTTTTGTGATTTAATGAACGTGTCATTGAATAGTAATGGTCCTCCCAAAAAGCCCATATTAATCTTCCAATTATCGGAGCCAATATTTTATGTACTTGACCGATATGCACTATTTTTGTTTTCCCCGAAGCCGTTAATGCTATCATATACAAAAATTTATTAAACTTATTTTAAATAATAAAGATTTAAGAAATGTTAAGAGAACCATGTCACCTCATAACTTTCTCTTTGTTGCCTCCACTATTAGTTAACGGAATAACTTATGCAGCGCACTATTTCGTTATGGTTTGCAACAATATTTTAAGAATTATTGTAACTAGTAATTGTACCCGTGCGATGCACGGGACAACAAATTCCATTTTTTTTGATGTCGTAAGAATATATAAACAAACGTTTGATATACCGTATGATCAAAATTCTGTTATAATCATTCATTAATAATTCATCAGTGGAACATTACTAAGTGTACTACACCAAAAAAAAAAGCAAATAACTTTACTGTTGAATAATTTTAAAAATGAATTGATGATCAACTAATACCATAGATTGAAAAATTGAACCAGGAACAAAATCATCAACTATGTCTTTCATGTTGAGCTTAAACGTAATTAGATTTAATAACTTAGTTAACATAATCAAAACTAAACTATCCACAACATAACAACGTAAAAGGCCATCTATACATCTTGCATCGTAATTAAGCCCTTCTCCACTATCTTTTGCCAATGGAATTAACAATTAGAAAATTAAGAAACAAAAATAAATATAAACAATAAATTAAATATTGCATACAAACAGTAAGTCTCGAAGGCCGACTTCCAATAGCTTGTGGCTCCATCCATTTTTACTTAGTTCTCTCAAATCAGCCCCTTCACTAACATGTCCTATAACATCTAAAAGGAAATAATTGTTATACACAAAATTTAAATCTTTGGTATAAATTAATGAAACACATAATTTAACAAAATGAAATTACCTATAAGCCATGATCGAAAAAGATGCAAACTAATTACCACACAGTCAATAGGATGAAGAAGAAAATAAGACAAAAATTCTAAAGTCGGGTTACCAAAAGAAGAAGCCTTAGGTTGGATGAAGAAATAAAATTCAAATGTTGTAGACATTCAGAAAAACGATGTCAACAAATCCGCTAGGGATGAAAATCAGATTTATTTACCCTCTTTTGTAAAAATTGAAATCAGATTTATCATGAACTATGAAGAGAAAACAAATTGCAAAATATGTAACCTTTTATGAAGCCACAAACATTTGGTAGAAACGGTGAAAAATAAAACTGGGGTGGAGAAGTTGAGAGGTTGGATATAAATAAGAAGACAAAACACAAACTTGTTGAAGTGGAAGAGAAAAGTTGAAACTGTTGAGAGTCGGAAGTCTTTGGGAATCGTCCGTCTTTGGGAATATGATAATTTGTATTTTATCATCAAGAAATAAAACTTGGGAGATTTAATTGGTTGTGCATTAGAGATATTCATGGCTGAAAATAGGAGAGGAGTGATTGGGCTGATTCGGGAATAAAAAATTGTTAAAAATCGAAAATAATATTTAGGAGATAAAAATTTGATAAAAAGTCGAAAAATAATATTTACCAGATAAAAATCTGATAAAAAACAAAATAATATTCAAGAGATAAAAATTTGATAAAAATCTAAAATAATATATAAAATAATGTTAATGAGATAAAATGTGATAAAATACGAAAATCATAATTAAAATAATATTTAGGAGATAAAAATATGATAAAAATCAAAAAATATTATTTAAAATAATATTTAGGAGAAATATTTTTGATAAAAATCGAAAATAATATTTAGGGGGTAAAAAAATGATAAAAAATGAAAATAATATTTAGGGGACAAAAATCTGATAAAAATTGAAAATAATATTTAGGAGATAAAAATCTGATAAAACTCGAAACAATATTTAAAATAATATTTAAGAGATATAATTTGATAAAATTCGAAAATAATATTTAAAAGAATATTTAGGAGATAAAAATTTGATAAAAATCAAAAATAATATATAAAATAATATTTAGGAGATAGAAATCTGATAAAAATCAAAAATAATATTTTTGAGATAAAAATCAAAATAATATTTACAATTATATTTAGGAGATATAAATTTGATAAACTTCGAAAATGATATTTAAAATAATACTTAGCAGAGGAAATTTTGATATAAATCGAAAATAATGATTAGGAGATAACAATCTAAAATAATATTTAAAATAATATTTAGGAGATAAAAATCAAAAATAATAAAGAAAATATGCAAATATGACATTAGGGTTTCTTAGGGTTGCCCGTTTCTTTCTTTTATATATAAGATGAACGATACTACAAAGACCTTAAAATTATTTTAGCATAACTCTCAGACAGGGGTCTAGGTGTAATTTATCCTTTATTTTAAACAAATCCCGAAATTCTCGCTCTATAAAATTACAAATTCCCGCATAAACAAAACCCTACTGACATTCTCTCTTTCCAAATTCCAGCGAACGAATTTCCCGATCATGTCGATCGCCGGAAGCTACAAACGGTGGCACGCCGATCTCCGGGAACGCCTCGATACGGTAAGGGGTTTACCGATCACACACTCGCAATACGAGACAGTGAACAACACCTTCGAGCGAGCTCTGGCCACGATGCACAAGATGCCCCGTATTTGGATTATGTACCTCCAGGTGCTGACTCAGCAGAAGCTCGTTACCAAGACGCGCCACGCGTTCGACCGCGCGTTGCGCGCGCTCCCCGTCACTCAGCACGGCCGTATTTGGGAGTACTATCTGGTTTTCGTTTCGCAGAAGGGCGTTCCGATCGAAACCTCTTTGGGAGTGCACAGAAGGTGTTTGATGTATGACCCGAGTCACATTGAGGACTTGATCGAGTTCTCGATCAATTCCGAGCTGTGGCAGGAGACAGCCGAGAGGCTTTCGGGCGTCTTGAACGACGGCCAGTTTTACTCCATAAAGGGAAAGACGAAGCACCGGCTGTGGTTAGAATTGTGCGATATATTGACGCAGCACGCTAGTGAAATTTCTGGATTGAACGTGGATGCCATAATTAGAGGCGGCATTAGAAAATTCACCGACGAAGTTGGTTGGTTGTGGACATCGTTAGCCGATTATTACATAAGGAGGCGTTTGTTTGAGAAGGCGAGAGACATATTTGAAGAAGGGATGAACACAGTGATAACTGTGAGGGATTTTAGTGTTGTATTTGATGCATATTCACAGTTTGAGGAGAGTATGTTGTCTAAAAAGATGGAGACTTTGGGTGTTATCGAAGACGGGGTTAATGAGAAGGAAGAGGAAGATGACGAGAGGTTCGAATTAGAGAATTTGAAGAAGACGATTGATAGTTTTTGGTTTAACGATGATAATGATGTTGATTTGAGATTGGCAAGATTGGAGTATTTGATGGATAGGAGGCCAGAGTTGGCAAACAGTGTTCTTCTGAGGCAGAATCCTTACAATGTAGAGCAGTGGCATAGGAGGGTTAGGCTTTTCGAAGGGAATCCCACGAAGCAAATTTTGACCTACACGGAAGCTGTGAGGACGGTGGACCCCACGAAGGCTGTGGGTAAACCACACACTCTGTGGGTTGCGTTTGCCAAGCTGTACGAAAGCCACAACGATGTTTCGAATGCGAGAGTGATATTTGATAAGGCTGTGCAGGTTGGTTATAAGGCGGTGGACCATCTAGCTAGTGTGTGGTGTGAATGGGCGGAGATGGAGCTTAGGCACAAGAATTTCAAGGGTGCGTTGGAACTGATGCGTCGTGCTACTGCAGAGCCATCAGATGAGGTTAAGAGGAGTGGTAATCTGCTCAATCCTTTTTTTTTCTCCTCGTTATTTCTTTAATTTCTATGTCGATGTTATTTGTTTCTTCAAGTAATAATGCTTAGTACTAAATGAATGATCTGGATTCTGGCCCGTCTTTTCGTACTTCGTCGAACATCCATAAAAAGAAAAGCACAATATGTACTTTTGGTGAATTTTCTTGCAATATGTACTGTTATCTGAGTATCTTTTTTTCGTTAAAGCACCTTTTCAAAATTAATATTTTAGAGGCTCCCTATTATCAACTGTGGGTATCGTATTCATGCTTCTGATCTTTGGTCAAATTAATAACACTTTAATTGTAACTTATTGTCTTTAAAGATCCACGTATAGAAAGTTAAAAGTTTCCATCGTCAACGATACTTCTTGATTATCAAATTGCATTTTTACATTGATGATTATGGGTTCTTTGTTAGTCTTGATGTATTACTGCTAGCTAATATCGTGCAGATAACAGTTGATAAGATTTGTTTCCTCCTCCAAGGAAGTTGGGAACTTATGACTTCTTTCTCTCGGTGATTCGAAAGATAATTTTTGTATCTGACTGCCTAATTTCTTTCTAAGTTATTTACCAGTAAATGAGATAGTTAATTTCCGGTGAGATGGCGTATGAAGTTTATTCAATTTCAGGCCTGTTGGTTAACTTTCGTATCTTCATCCACTAGGTCATGCTTGCCCTGTATTTTGTTTACATCTCATTTTATTCTGAAATTATTCTTTTAGCATCTTAATGCTTCACATTTGTTATCCGATGCATACGAGCCTGACAAAAGGCAGCGTGTATGAATTGTAAGAAAGGGTGTTTAAAAATATTTATTCTAATTGAGTAAGAATGCTTATTTCTATCTTGTATTATTAGTTTACTGTTGTTTGAGCAAAGATGTAATAAATCAGTAACTTCTGTTCCAATTACTTGATATGATTGAACTTTGAATCTTAAAACTTGCTTTTTTTCTTTGTGGCTGCAGTGGCTGTTGATGGCAATGAACCGGTGCAAATGAAGCTTCACAAATCTCTAAGGCTTTGGACGTTTTACGTTGATTTGGAGGAGAGCCTGGGTAACCTGGAGTCAACGCGTGCGGTTTACGAGAGAATATTGGATTTGAGAATAGCCACTCCCCAAGTTATAATAAACTACGCAATGCTTTTGGAAGTAAGTATAATCCCAATGGATTATTTTTCTGTCTTCTTCACCCTCCTTTCTGCAAATATGAATAGAATAATTTTTTATTATTATTTTTTTTTAATTTGACCAGGATAACAAGTACTTTGAAGATGCATTTAAAGTTTACGAGAGAGGTGTGAAGATATTTAAGTACCCACACGTGAAAGATATTTGGGTCACTTATCTTTCCAAGTTTGTCAAGAGATATGGAAAGTCAAAGCTGGAACGAGCTCGAGAGTTATTTGAGCATGCCGTTGAAATGGTATGCTTTTCTATTCACTATTTTCTTCAAATCATAAGAAATAATTAAATTTTCTGAAGAAGCTGAATTAATAAATCGTTTTTCCTTTTGATTAGGCCCCTGCAGAATCTGTCAAACAGTTATACCTCCAATACGCGAAGCTAGAAGAAGACTTTGGTCTGGCAAAAAGGGCGATGAGAGTATACGATCAGGCCACAAAAGCAGTCCCAGCTAACGAGAAATTAGGCATGTACGAAATATACATTTCCAGAGCAGCAGAAATATTCGGTGTGCCCAAAACTCGAGAAATTTACGAGCAAGCAATAGAATCTGGCCTGCCTGACAAGGATGTGAAAACCATGTGCGTTAAATACGCCGAACTAGAAAAGAGCCTTGGCGAAATCGACCGTGGCCGAGCATTATTCAAGCAGGCTTCCCAATTCTCCGATCCTAGATCCGACCCTGATTTTTGGAAGAAGTGGCAGGAGTTTGAGTTTCAGCACGGAAACGAAGATACCGTCACAGAGATGTTCCGAGTCAAAAGAAGCATTTCAGCTAGTTACAGCCAGGTAGTGTAAAAAAATAAAATTAAAATAAAATTAGAAAAATAAATAAATTATGATTTTGCCCTTACGGGAATTAACATTGTCTTTTGTTTCTCGTTTTACAGACGCACTTTATGCTGCCGGAGTATGTGCTGCAAAAGGATCAGTTGCGGGCACTAGAGGAAGCGAAGGATGTGTTAAAGAAAGCTGGTGTGGGTTTTGAAATGGAGGCACTCGAGAGGAGATTGTCACCACCAAGTGGCGGCGGTGAACTGGCGGTGAAAGAGAGCGGCGGTAGAAAACGAGTCGGTTTTGTGAGTGCTGGTAGTATTCAACAGAAGGATGGAGGAGAAAAAGAGACGGGAAATAGGGAGGAGATTAAGCTTCCGGAAGATGAATCTGATGATGATCCGACGGTTGAGATTGATCAGAAGGAAATCCCGTCGGCGGTTTTTGGCGGATTAGCAAGGAAAAGAGATGAATTGGAGAAAGATGCTGTTGATGATGAAGAAAACAAAGACATCGGTGCACTTGAGAGAATCAAAAGAATGAGGCATTTACCATTTTAGTTCCGTCTCGTCATTATTATTTTAATATTTTTTTTGAAATGGAAGAACGATTTTCGATTGAGCTTTTTCAAGTGTTTGTAAATGCAGGTTTTGGTCTCTTCTTTTTAAAAGGGGATGTTTAAATATAACGGCAATTTTCTCTTTTATCGAATCGTATTACATGACAAACGCTTAAGGTATCGAACTCTAATTTCCAATTTCATCCCTCGAATCGTAATTTCAGTTCCAATACAAGAAACACTGAAATCCTCATTTCACTCAAATTGCATACCTTGATCGCAATTGACCGGTCAATGTCGACGTTGAATTTTTATTCTCCTTTCTGGCAATGTGAATACGATCGAAATTTTTCGATTTCGAGGATATTTTCAATCCAATTTTCGAATTCCAAGTGCAAATTATGCCGATTTTTTTTTTTTTTTTTGGGATCAAAATCAGAACCATACATAAAATTCCGGAGAATTCCTATTTCCGATCCGATTTTTTTTTACAGTAATTATTCAATTTGAAAATAAACTTTTGTTTTCTCCTTCTCTCTCGCGGTTTTCCATAATGGGCCACAATAAACAAGTGATCCAACCTAATAACTTTATAAAAAACGAGCCCTAATATATATATATATATATATATATATTTAAGGTTATTATTGATAAGTAATTACTGGATCAAAGCAGCGGCGTTAAGCATTAATACAACGTAACCAGATCAAAATTAACGGTCACAAACAAATCTACTCTACTCTATAAATACCCTCACTTTTCATAAACACTAAACACCCACAATTAGGGTTCTACAGAAAACTACAGGACGCAAAAAACACCCAATTCTGCACACAAAGAAACACACACTGTGATAAAACTAATAAATATTTCGATTTCGATTTCGATTTTGATTTTGATTTTGATTTTGTAGAATTTTGATTCATTTGATTGCGACGATTCACTTGGGGCGAACTTTGATCTGTGTTCGTAAAATTCGAGTGAAACTTGTTGGATTTATTTTATGTATTTCTAACAAAAATCGTCGCAAAAGAAAGCCTTCTTCGTCGAGGTATATGTATGTATATATCTCCGAAGAATTCTTCGTCGAGGTGTGTGTATGTATATATGTATGTATATCTCCGAAGGTAGTGAGGCGTCCCCATATTCCATCGCCGTGGGTAGCGGGTTGCTGCTATTATCTCTTCGGTCTGGCCATGGGTGAAAACATTCTTTTATTTTATTTTATTCTTTCAAATTTTTCTCTTTAAATTGTTTTTTTGGTATTGGTTTTTTGCCTGTGAAAAATCACATGTTAATTTTTTATTTTTTTTTTGTTCAATTATTTAATTTAATTAAACAGTTTTGAAACAAATTCAATATTCGAAGTACCAATTTTAATTTTGTTCTGCTGAATTTTTTGAAATTGGAAAATTTTAATGATAAACATCAATGATATGTGAAAATAGGATTTTGATGTACTTAATACCATTTTATTAATTACTATATAAAATAATGATTTTAACTCATTGCGCATAATTACTGATTTATTAGCATATTTATTGTAATACATTATTGTTAATTAATAAATTTATTTTTTAAATATTTATGCTGTTTTTTATTATTAAAAAATATTGATTTTGATAAATATGAATATCATTATTTTTTAATTTATTTTATTTTATAGAAAGATTGACAAAATAATAAACTGTCCCGCAGTTGAAATTATTTGATTTAAATTTTCGAATTTCTCTTAGCAATAATTGCTAAGTCGAGCGTGTGTGAAAGCTATTATACGAGATTGATAGGCGCTCTTAGGTAATACATATTATATAAATTGAAATTCTCATATACATGAATCTTGTTTCAAAGTTGTGAAATATGCTCTTAGCTACTAAGCTAATACAATAAGTACCAATTTATTAATTAATTTATTAAATAAACCAAATTCTAGAGATCATCTCCAACCATAATTATTGTCAATTATATTATAACTAACCTCTTGAATTTTAAATAATTATTTTTTAGGTAAATGACCTTGTATTTTGTCAACAAAATTTAGTCGAATGAAAAAAAAAATCATAAATAGTGTATTTTATCATTTGTCATTTTAGTGACATTAAATAAAAGATTTATATTACAATTCCACGTGTTATATTCTCCAAAACCTATCTCTATTATTCATTTCCTTGTTGGCCAAAACAATATTGTACACATTAATTCATTATCCATTTGAATAGTAGTCTCAAGCCTAATTCGATTTCTCAATTAATTAAGAATTTAATTAAGAGGGTAAATTACACCTACATCTCTGAGCTATGTTAGAATAACTTTAAGGTCTTTATAATATTGGTAATTAAAACTATACTCATAAACAGTTACTGGAGTCAAAATTTCATCTCTTGTATGCCGATATGCACTATATTTGTTTCGCGCGGGACGTTAATGCTACCATAGACGAAAATTTATAAATCTTTTATAAAACAATAAGGATTTAATAAATGTTACGAGAACCATATCACCCTCTAGCTGTATATTGTATCTTCCACCAGACGAAAATTTATAAATCTTATATAAAACAATAAGGCTTTAATAAATGTTACGAGAACCATATCACCCTCTAGTTGTATGTTGTATCTTCCACCGTCTGAAACTAGTAAGCCGTTAAAGTTGATTGTAATTACTGATACTATAGGGACCTTAAAGTTATTTTAGCATATCTTAGGGGTGTAAGTGTAATTTACCATAAATCAATATTGTTATTTGGGCAAATTACGGCCACCCCCTTGAGATATGGTCAAATTACGAAAAAATCCCTCTTGTTTGGGCAATTACAGCCACCCCCCTCCTTTTAAATATTTTTACGTAAAATTTATGTAATTCGGTTATTTACCGAACCAAATCGTATATTTAGTTCGGTAAACGGTATGAAATGTTGGCGTACCGAAATTTTGGTTCGGTTTTACCGAATTAACATCCATAAATTTACCTCTTGAGGGGTTTTTTCGTAAGATAAATACATAGTTGAGGGGGTGGCTGTAATTACCCAAACGGGAGGGGGGTTTTCGTAATTTCACCATACCTCAGGGGTGGCCGAAATTTGACCTTGTTATTTTAATCCCGGTCTGATTAGACAGCATAATCGAGGGTCGTTACACCTAAAATTATAAACTCACGCGTGATCACACTTGCAACTTGCAAGTGGATTGGTCTTTGTTTTCGCACACACTTACACACACACACATATATATATTGTTTTTATTTTTTTTAGGGTAAATTACAAAAACACCCCTGAGGTATGGTCAAATTACAAAAACCCCCCTCTTGTTTGGATAATTACATATACCCCCTCAACTATGATTTTTTCTTACACCTCCACCCTTATTGTGCCAAATTCAATATAATCATCTAGATTCCGTGTAATGTGCTTTAGTTTGTATTCGTTTTGTGTAAAAATACAGTTTCCGATGCACTACAAACTGATATACACAAGCTAAAAATCACATATTATGATCATCTTACTTCATAGTGTAGAGTTTGAATGGTATAAAACGGGTACAAAAGTGATAATATTTCATATAATCTCGAAGATTCCACTAAATTTGAAGAGCTGAGGGGGTGGTTGTAATTATCCAAACAAGAGGGGTGTTTTGTAATTTGACCATACCTCAGGGGGTGTTTGTAATTTACCTTTTTTTTTATATATACTAATTAAATATGTATGTATAATGATGTACTATATATTGGCTCTCTACGCCTATTTTGGTGTACATTTAAAATTGGATGATCTAGAGAGAGAAAGCTAGAGAGAGAAAATAAAAAAAATAAAAAAAAAATGGGAAAGCTAAGCAAACTGGATTCATTCATGAAAGCAGTAAGAGGATCCTACCACAGCAGCGGCGGCGGCCACCACCAGATCCAAACCGCCGCCGCCCCGAAATCCGAGGAGCAAAAGTTCAAAGCGCTCCTCCAATCGAAGGAGAAGGCGGTGAAGCTCCACTTCTACATCCAGGACGCCCTCGGCGGCCCCAACGCCACCGTCTCGGAGGTGGCGCGTTCCGATATGACGGCGGCCTCCGCCGTCTCCTTCGGCCAGGTTAGGGTTCTCGACGATCTGATCACGGCGGAGCCCGATCGGAACTCGGCGAAATTAGGCCGGGCTCAGGGGATGATCACCTTCACCGGCCTCGACGAGGCGGCGCTCACCATGAATCTGAACTTTTACTTCACCGCCGGCGAGTACAGCGGCAGCAGCCTCTGTATTATTGGGAGGAATCCGATCAACAGCACCAACCGGGAGCTGCCGGTCGTCGGCGGAACTGGCCGGTTCCGGCTGGCGCGTGGGTACTCGATCTCCAACACTTATTCTTACGATGCGGTGGCGAATTACGGCGTTCTGGAGTACACTGTGTACGTGGCATATTACGAGGATGAAGATATTAATACTCAAATTAATTCCTCTAAGTGATTTATTTTTTCTTTTAAAAAAAAATAATATTTTGTTGTATAATTTTTTTTGGGATGTAAAATTATCAAACTTCCAATAACTTTTTTTTGTTATTTGTTTAAATTTTTAATGTTTGTAAGACACCATAAATTTTTTTTCTTCACACCCCTACTTATTGAATTAATACCACAATTGCGTTGATCACTTCTAAAATCAAAATGCATTAATGTAAAAAGTTAACGAACTACAAAACGTCGAGAATATAAATCGAATACAGTTGAACACAAATTAACAAATTAATTCGTATCTAAATTTATCAATAAGAAAAAAATCTACAAAAATATAATTTGACAATGTTCTAAATATTGTTACAACCAACTCCTAGACTGCAATCGAATCAATGCACAATTGATTGTTCACATTATTTTTAAGGGTTAATATGCTATGAGCCCCTCAAACGAAACCTAATTTGAACTAAATGACAAGTTCAAATTCATTTTTTTAATTAAATCCTTAATTTGAAATAATATATGAGCCACATCCTTAAATTCTTTTTAATCCCTATCTTGCCCTTATAACCCTAAATTATATAACCTACATATTCTCGTTTCTCCAATTCAGATTTATTTCCGTTCCTTTGTTTTCTCTCACGTTCTCTCTCCCCCTCCCTCTCTCACACGTTCTCTTCTCTCTCTTTTTCACTCTCCGTTTTTTTTCTCCATCTCTCTCTCACCTCTCTATCTCCATACCCTCTCTCTTGCTAATTTAATTTTGGTAATAGTCCAAACCTAAGGGTTGTGGTTGGAATGAGGAGGGGGGCTGTGGTGGAGCAAGGAGGCGGCGGCGGGCTGTGTTTTTGAGATGGGCGGCGGGGGGGCTGGGGGTGGGAGGACGTGGCGGTGACGGGCTTGTG